TATCTAGGTGACAGAATGTTATGAGATCTTACACTGTATATCTAGGTGAAGGAAGACAGAATGCTATGAGACCTTACAACTGCATACCTAGGTGAAAGAATGACAGAATGTTGAGACCCTTACAACTGCATATCTAGGTGAAGGAATGACAAGAGGCTATGAGACCTTACAACTGTATATCTAGGTGAAGGAATGACAGAATGTTATGAGACCATACAACTGCATATCTAGGTGAAGGAATGACAGAATGTTGAGACCCTTACAACTGTATATCTAGGTGAAGGAATGACAGAATGTTATGAGACCATACAACTGCATACCTAGGTGAAAGAATGACAGAATGTTGAGACCCTTACAACTGCATATCTAGGTGAAGGAATGACAAGAGGCTATGAGACCTTACAACTGCATATCTAGGTGAAAGAATGACAGAATGCTAGGAGACCTTTACAACTGTATATCTAGGTGCAGGAATAACAGAATGTTATGAGACCTTACAACTGTATATCTAGGTGAAGGAATGACAGAATGTTATGAGACCTTACAACTGTATATCTAGGTGAAGGAATGACAGAATGTTATGAGACCTTACAACTGTATATCTAGGTGAAGTAATGACAGAATGTTATGAGACCTTACAACTGTATATCTAAGTGAAAGAATGACAGAATATTATGAGACCTTACAACTGTATATCTAAGTGAAGGAATGACAGAATGTTATGAGACCTTACAACTGTATATCTAGGTGAAGGAATGACAGAATGTTATGAGACCTTACAACTGTATATCTAAGTGAAGGAATGACAGAATGTTATGAGACCTTACAACTGTATATCTAGGTGAAGGAATGACAAAATGTTATGAGACCTTACAACTGTATATCTAGGTGAAGGAATGATAGCAGGCTTTGAGTATAATATTTAGTGTGACGTTACGACACTAGTGATTAGCTTATTGTTAGAAGGTTGTGAAACGAATGCATTAGAGTATGGAGTGAGTCTATCTAGAGTCATGAAGATTGTGAGTTTAAGTCACGTGGTCGACTGCACATGTGAAAAGAAAAGTAATTAGTAGTTGCCCGTTAGTGACATTCAGAGCTTGGAATATGGCGTCAAGTCAGAACGGATGTAAAACTACTGGTTCTGTGTGGTTTAGTGAATGTATAAAAGCAGCCTCTCTATTGCCACAGGATGAGTGTTCATAATTGTTAATATATAACAGAAGATGGCTGCATTGGCTTTTGAGTTACAGTGATTCAGTTCACTTAATAAGGATACCCTGGCCTCTCTAAACTTGGTCAGCGAATAATTAAATAAATCTTGGATGTAGTTGAAGATATCACGGCAGCCTGTGAAACTATACAATACAATATTGCAGACGTATATTGGACAAGCTTTGACATATCCACTATGTACAACTCTAGTTTTTTTTCACATCCATATGTTTCTTCTTTTTATCAAGCTGCCAATGCATTTATTGCACTACTTGCAGCCGAATCGGGAATCAATCCTGATGGTAACTATACAGACTTTGCTTGTAATCAAATTAATTACATATTAGGAGAGAATCCAAACGATCAGAGTTATGTTATTGGCTATGGAAACAATTATCCTAAACAACCTCATCATCGTGCAAGGTAAGTTATGCCACATTATGTGGTTTAGCTAATAACTACTTATTAGATATAAGTAAGAACACTTATATGCATACACTATTTTTCAATTGTCAATTTTACAATACATGGTTAGTACCAAAAATAATTACGATTATGAAGTTCAATTAGAACTAATCTGAAATACCACAACACAATATAACGCTAGACTGACAAGGTCGCATGAGTTGCGCCCTCCACGGTGCTCAAAACCCTCTGATGCTATTCGGCTGGCGAGGGCACCACTTACTCCTACATGTCAGGCTAAATATAACATTACATTGTTTCCCTTCACCGCGACACAATCTACCGCCTTCATGTTTACATGGGTTTCCCTTCACCGCGACACAATCTACCGCCTTCATGTTTACATGGGTTTCCCTTCACCGCGACACAATCTACCGCCTTCATGTTTACATGGGTTTCCCTTCACCGCGACACAATCTACCGCCTTCATGTTTACATGGGTTTCCCTTCACCGCGACACAATCTACCGCCTTCATGTTTACATGGGTTTCCCTTCACCGCGACACAATCTACCGCCTTCATGTTTACATGGGTTTCCCTTCACCGCGACACAATCTACCGCCTTCATGTTTACATGGGTTTCCCTTCACCGCGACACAATCTACCGCCTTCATGTTTACATGGGTTTCCCTTCACCGCGACACAATCTACCGCCTTCATGTTTACATGGGTTTCCCTTCACCGCGACACAATCTATCCGCCTTCATGTTTACATGGGTTTCCCTTCACCGCGACACAATCTACCGCCTTCATGTTTACATGGGTTTCCCTTCACCGCGACACAATCTACCGCCTTCATGTTTACATGGTTCTGTACTGTCTTCATTCAAATTTGTCAATAGTTCATGTCCAGCAAAATTCCAGCCATGTACACCTTCTGAGAGTTTCGGTTTGGAAGGTGATAACCCTAATGAACTGACTGGTGCCTTGGTTGGTGGTCCTGATGCAAATGACTTTTGGGAAGACAGTAGATACGACTATGAACAGAATGAAGTTGCATGTGACTATAATGCAGGATTTCAAGCTACTCTGGCAGGTATTGTATTAGTTTAAGTTATTGGAAACTAACTTTAGTATTTTATTCACTTATTGATTCATTTATATGTCCACTTTTTTATATTGAAGGCTTGATGTCAATGGAAGCAAGAGGTATTCTTCCAGATTCTTGTAAAGTCTTAGCGGGTGTTTAATTTCAGTATATGGTATATATCAACCTGATCTCTCTTCAGAAAATAAAACTTTTATTTCAAGTCATATTTAACAAGTTGGACATTTTTTCATGTATTCAGTAAATTCAATAAAGTGAATTGTTATATTCATCATTATCAGATACAGATTTGACAAGATAAATGAAATGAAAGGATGGCTCGAAAAGTCTCAGCAATAATATACTTTTTAGACAGGTTGTTGCTGGCACTTTGATTGCCTGGCAGTAAAAGTGTGAAGAACTGCTATGTGAGCCTTGGGTCACAGGTCACCTCTGTGACATGTAGGACACAGGTCATCTTTGTGATGTGGCGTGGAGCCACCACGGGTCACAGGTCATCTCTGTAATGTGATTATGGGAAAGCTAATAAATATCTTGAATAATTGTGTAGCAATTACTACAACTATTTAAACAGATAGACATGTCTAATTATTGACTAATATAAGTTGTATCTGAATCATTAAGCAAATTTGCAGGCACATACTGCCATTGAATCTTGTCAAAATAAATGCAAGTAGTGTGAGATGCATGATCCTATGCACTTACATGTACTTGGTCTTGGCTGACAAAACATAATTTTAAAATATAAAAAACAGGCACAAACATTTTCTTTGTGGAATGCTCCATGTGTGTGTTTTTTCAGTTTGCCCGGGACGTTCAAATCTGAATCTCTCTCACAATTGTGTTTCATGAGAACCTTTCACGCTATCTTTGTTGATTTTTCAATTAACAAGCAGCCTGTCGGCTGAGATAGCTCCGCTGTTAGCAATACACATTTCAATTAAAGAACTGAAGATATCATTAGAAAATGAACAATATGTTTAGTATTAAAGCAATCGGACTTGCTGTTTTCAACAAGAGTTCGAAAATATCACTTTTCACCAAAAAAATAGTCACCAAAATTAGAGAATTGAAGATATCTTCACAAAATGAACAAATCTGAGGTCCACATGTAGTACAGATATATATAATATCAAACCAAACAGACTTGCAGTTTTTAACAAGAAGTCGAAAATATCACTTTTTACCAAAAATATTCACCTAAATTGGAAAATTGAAGATATGATCATGAAATTAACACATCTAAGAGAAGTCTGCCCAATGTACGTACACACAAAGTATCAAAGCATTCAGGCTTGTAGTTTTCAAGAAGGACAATCACTCATATGATAAGCTAATAAATGGGCGTCCAGGCATCCTGGTCAGTATTTAACACTTCGGATATCATTGTCTAAAATGCGGGAAAACATGAATGATCATAATGCCCGTTTTATGGAAGTGACGCTTATCGCCAACAAAAATGGCTATCGCATCACAAGTAAATGTCAACATTCACCCACCAGACTCTGATGTGTGCTGATGTTCAATCGTCAGTTTATCACCGAGGGAGGGTGCAATGGATTACGTGAGGCCGATGATACAGTTATAAACATAGTTGAACTCTGGTGACCTTGCCCTTTGTTATACAATATCATTCCCTTTACCATAGTTTGTTTCAACGTGAATATGCATTGTCATAATTAATTTTGAATACAAACAAGTTTTGGGGTTGAAACAACAGTTGGAAAGCAGTCTACCGAATGTTCTTGATAGATGTTAATATCTTACAAAAAATTTGTTTAATTAGTTTAAGGGGCATAGTTTCCAGCTTTATTCAAAGTATTTCAGATATTTTAGTATAAAAACTAGTAGCTTCGCGGTGAGTGGCTTTCGCGATAAAAGTGGGTTTCATATCTGGTGGGTTTCGCGGGGAGTAGGGCTTTGTCCCAGTAACTGGTCCTTTCATCCTTGTTGAGAATTAAAGTTTTATGGTGCTATTCTGGGAATTCCATCCTGGCAGGAGTTCCAAAATAAGACCCATGCTCTGATAATGTCTCTAGTTTCAAAGACCAATAAACATTGCCATTATGATCTTATTGGTGTTGCAAAGGATAGTTGAATATTGTTTATTGAAATTAATAATTCCCATAATCGTTTTGCAATATAGATAAATTGTAGTACGTAACAAATATATAACTCAGTCTCAACAATGAAATAAAGAAATGTATATATATATATTTACATTATTACTAATGCATTGCAATACAACTAATTCAAAATGAAAGACATTGCAATATAAAATATTCCATCAGTAATACTTCTCAAAGGCGTAGTTCAAGGTCAGTGTTATTTACGAAATATTTGTTTATAGGTTTATACCCACCCCAATTGTATATAATGTGTACATACTTTAATAAATAAAAATGAAATATTAATTATTTCATATTTTATTATATAACCTGCACAAAAGTTATCAATATTTTTCCTTGCTAGAATGATGTGTAACTTCATACGGGAATCCTGATAAAGTTCACAACTGGCGATTTAGCAATACATGTATATGGATTGTCAACTTCCAGTGAATTTGATTACCTAACGTTTTTAGGTTTATGCGCTGCAAATTACAGAACACGTACCTAAGCAGCCGTCCCGCAGCAAATAATTAAGCCAAGGCGGTTTCGATATCGAAATCAAGAAACTCTCTGTTTTTACACAATCTGGGAAGTTTGAATTACTAAATGAAGTACAGGACGACGAAGCTGAAATATCCAAGAACCAACACATACCAAAAATCTCAAAAGTGAATATTCGCGGTGTAAATTAAGTCTAACCGGACCCGAAGTGCACAAAAGTAATCAATATTTGTCCATGGTAGAATGATGTGTAACTTCATACGGGAATCCTGATAAAGTTCACAACTGGTGATTTAGCAGTATTAGGGATTGTCAACTTTCTGTGAATTTGATTACCTAACGTTTTTAGGTTCATGTGCTGCAAGTTACAGAGCACGTACCAAAGCGACCGTCCCCCGGCAAATAATTAAGCCAAGGCGTTTTCGATATTGAAATTAGGAAGCTCTCCGTTTTTACACAATCTGGGAAGTTTGAATTACTAAATGAAGTACAGGACGACGAAGCTGAAATATCCAAGAACCAACACATACCAAAAATCTCAAAAGTGAATATTCGCGGTGTAAATTAAGTCTAACCGGACCCGAAGTGCACAAAAGTAATCAATATTTGTCCATGGTAGAATGATGTGTAACTTCATACGGGAATCCTGATAAAGTTCACAACTGGCAATTTAGCAATATGTATTAGGGATTGTCAACTTCCTGTGAATTTGATTACCTAACGTTTTTAGGTTCATGTGCTGCAAGTTACAGAGCACGTACCAAAGCGACCGTCCCCCGGCAAATAATTAAGCCAAGGCGTTTTCGATATTGAAATTAGGAAGCTCTCCGTTTTTACACAATCTGGGAAGTTTGAATTACTAAATGAAGTACAGGACGACGAAGCTGAAATATCCAAGAACCAACACATACCAAAAATCTCAAAAGTGAATATTCGTGGTGTATTTTAAGTCTAATCGGACCGGAAGTGGGAAATTGTCAGTACTCTAAATACTGAGTGGCTGAAAATGAGTATGCGCACTTGATTTACCCAGAACTCTGTGTGAGTCCCCCTTGATTCTGGCTGCTGGCCATTTTTGTCGTCATCTCCTCCAGTCCTTTTACGACCAATTAAAACACTAGTTCTTTTATTTACTGGGTTGTAACTTCTACTTACGTCGGATATCATCAGAAAACGCAGGATTTGTGCAATTTTGAATAAAACCAAGTTAGTGATTATGAACAATGGTTATTAACGTAACACCTGATCCCCTCTAAAATTTTTGTTTCGAATTTTAAGGTAAGTAATCAAAATTTGAAACAGGATGTCGATTTACTAGGTGCCATGTTTCACAACTTGTTTATTTATATACGCATAGCAGATGACTTTTTTAAAAACAAATAGTATTTATTGATTTTTCAGCCCCCAAGTGACTGTGATTTAATTGGAGTGAATTTCCCTACTAACTTCCTTAGTTGTAATTTGTATGCGGTGTCCAATATGGCGACCAAGGGCAAAAACAGTGTTATGCAAATTAGCTTTAGTTGAAAATTTGAGTTTTCTGGCGATAGGTACCGGTACTTTAATTTGAACCAAAATGTTATCGGCAAGACTCAGAGTACGACAGCGACAGCCACAGAGACGTTATTGAAGGCAAATGAACACATCAGGCAAACAAGAATGTTTCGAGTCATGGCGTAAAATGGAGACACATACCATTTTGACGCTTGAGGGGAATGGAAATCAGTTGATTTGAGGATGTCACAATAAGCGAGGAAGCAAATCATTTTTATGCTAGGAAAAATGCAGACATTGAACGTACTTTTTGGACTTTAGTACTACGTCATTTTTGTTTGATAACCTAAGGTTTTTAGGTTCATGTGCTGCAAGATACAGAGCACGTACCAAAGCGGCCGTTCCTCAGCAAATAATGAAGCAAAGGAATTTTCGATGCCGAAATTGCGAAACTCGCCCTTTTTACGCAAACTGGGAAGTTCGAATTACTAAACGAAGTACATGACGACGAAGCTTAGATATCCAAGAAGCAATATTTGTTATGTATTTTACCTCTAACCGGACCGGAAGTGAAATTTTGTTATTAATCTAAATACCCAAATATATTTTAGTATAAGGTAGTAACAAATGCCTCATCTATGAACAAATATGAACTGCCTTATTATATTCATTGTGTGATTATTATTTGAAAAGTAAAAAAACGCCCACTATGAATAGCTATTATGTTGCAAGCTATGCTTTGTATGTAAATCAACTTAAATACTGTAAAATACTTTACTTTTGCTGAATGATTCAGTGAAAATAAAATCCAGCGAATATACCCTTTTTTCCTATATTTCACATTCAGCTCGTTAGAAATCTGTGAAAATAATTTCCATACAAAACACCCAAAAACATATTTCAACAAAAATTAATTCCAGCTAAATAAAGTATTTTACAGTAGTTGGTGTCCAGTGGAGAGAGAAGTCAACAGTACTTTGTCTACTGAGAATCTACATCTTCAAACACTGCAATCTTTGTTTTTTGAAGTGCGTTTGTAAATTATTTTTATAAAAGCTTTGTCATTCTGTTCTCAAACAATTTCTGTGAATTTTCATTTG